CCCGGCGGGAGCGCCGCCGCACTCCTAAGCGGCGCACTCTCCAGTGCGCCACCGGCCGGCCCCTCCCCAAGTTCTAATCCTGGTTCTGCTACCATCTGGGCTTGAAAACACAGGCCTCTGTGAGCCTGTGTCCCCAGCAGTATAAAGGACATAAACACTGTCACATAGGGCTGGTGCGAGGTCCAGGTACGCACATTAAAGTGTGGGCCGTCACAGCCGTGCACAGCCTGTGCTGAGTACAGAACAAGACTCTCCCCATCACCTGACCACACACAGAGCTAGGCTCGCACCTGCCTCCCGGGTCCACAGCCCTGCTGCCAGGGGCCTGTCCCGCACTCTGTGACAGGTGGAGGAGGTCAGGGACCAATTGGTTGCAGCTGCCCAGAGGAAGCACTGAGGATTCTAAGACCGGGCTGACATCCGCACTTTATTTTTTGTTTTTCAGCACTGGCTGGTGCAGGGATCCGAACCCCAGCTGAGCTAACCAGCCAACTGACAATCTGCAACTGATGAGTGACGTTTGTCAAGAGTTCCGAAGGGGATGGGCATGGTCTGTATGCTGTCGTATTAGGTCATCTTCGGCCTGGATCAGGTTGGTCATGGTGGGCTAGAGTCTGCAGTGTGGAGATGGTATCTCTTGATCAGTTCACTTCCTTGCCGAGTCCCCAAGCCCTGTACCAGAGGCTCCTGGGATATCAGTAGAAGTCAGGGCTGGGAGGTGACCGGTAGCCTGGGGGGAATGGAAGGCCTGACCGCCCAGCTCTGCCTCCTGCATGGTCTCCCCTTCAGCACTGTGGACATCGGGGATGGATCCTTCTCTGTGGTGGGGCGTCCTGGGCACTGCAGTTGCTGAGTAGTGTCCCTGGCCTTTACCCACTCCGTGCCAGAAGCACCCCCCCTGTTGTGACAGCCACCAAAGTCCCCAGACATGAATGAACATGTCCCTATTGTGGGAAGCAGAGCAGATGGCAGGGGGCAAAGCTGGAGGCGACCCGTGGACTACACAGAGCTTCTCAGGAGCTATTGCTGGCTATTGTTAGGTGCTGTGGTTGTGTTTAGTTCCTTCATGTGACAAACGTACCACACTATGTAAGACACCAGCAACACGGTGCAGGGGCTGGGGATTCTGCACCATCTTTGCGGCATTTGTGTAAATCTAAAGTTATTCTAAAATAAAATGTTTATTTAAAAATATGCAATCTCACAAGTAGACCAATTTAGTGAAAATAAAACAAGATTTTTTTTCCCATCTAAAAAAGTGTTTTTAGAAAAACTAAATTTCCAGATGAAATGGTGCCTGGGTGGGGCTGTCAGTCGTCTGAGAGCTGGTGAGTGGTGAAGCTGGGAGGTGACACTTGGGGCTTTCCGGGGGACTCCTGCCGCTTTGTTTAGGTTGGAAATGTCTCCAGAGTCAAATGTGAAGTGCTGCTGACCAGCGGGCTGTGGGCTCCCGCCTGGCCCTCGATCTTCCCCACCAGAGAAAGGGGGACGAGCCCACCTTGGGAAATGCCACTGTCCCACGGTGAGTGGGCAACTGGGATCGCTGGGCCCATGCTCCAAGGCCCTGCCACCAGGCCACATGGGGGGACAGTGGGGGAAGCCTCCTCACTGTCCTCCCACTGGCCTGTGGCCCTGACAGAGACGGGGACCCTGCTGGTGGACAACATTTCCTCCATGCCAGCCTGGCGGGAGACTGATCCACGCCAGCAGCAGCGCAAGTCAAGGGGTTCAGGCATCCCCGAGATGGTCTCTTCTGGAAGGTGTGTGAGCAAGGGTCTGGTCTCTGCTGCTGCAGCCTGTGGGAAGCGCCCAGAGTCCTGTTCCTGCGGGTCCTGAAGCCGCCAGCCACTGCTAAGAGCCATTCACTGCCCTGTGAGGTGGCAGGGGCTGGACTGGGGCCTCCTGCCCCTTGCCAGCCTGGCCCCCCTATGTCTGGGTTTCTGCTCTCTCTGCAGCACCCAGCTCGGAGCAGGCCCCAGAGGGAACCTGGCGTCTTGTGGTGAGGCAGGTGGCTGGGGTCCAGGCCTGGCTTCCACCTGCACTCCCTGTGGGGTACGGTGGGTCTTGGGCCCCGGCCGCCCATCCGGACAGTGAGGTCAGCCAGCAGCTGCTGGGGTCCCTCTGCTCTGAACATCCCGCCGGGGGCCCCACCTACACGTGTCCTAGGCCAGCCTATCCAATCATCCCCTCAAGTGCGAGGCAGGTCTTACAGTGACCGGGCAGGGCCTGCGCCCGGCAGTGGTCCCACGGCCCCTCCAACCGGACGGGCACCAGACCCGGGCAGTGACCCAGCACGGCCGCCAGCTTCCCCGGATACCTTCTCACGGTCCCGCGCACTGTCACCGGCGGTAGCGGTAGCGCTTGAAGTGGAACCAGAGCTGGAAGATGCCATTGGCGAACTGGCAGCGGAAGCCGTGGCGGTGCGAGTACTCCCACTCGCGGTTGACGATCTTGAAGGCGATGTCCTCGTACGGCGGCCCCGCGTGGAAGCGCAGGATGGCGAAGTCCTTGTTGTCGCAGCAGGCCTCCAGGAAGTACTCGGGCGTGGAGCGCTTGTCGATGAGGTCAGGGTAGAAGATGTTGAACTTGTAGCCCTGCACGATCTTGGGCGGCGGGTTGTCGAAGTCGTAGTGCGTCTGGTTGTACTTGTTCCACTCGAAGCCCGTGTGCACGCGGTTGAAGAAGCGCGGCTTGCGCGGCCGGTACTTGTCGGCCCACAGGTAGGCCCTGCCCGTCAGCGGCATCTCCACGCTGAACTGCGCCTCGTCCTGGCCCATGCCCTCCTTGGCCCGCCGGAAGAAGATGTCCTCCGCGCTCTCGCTGGCGTCGCCTGGGGGCAGGGGGACCCCGTCTCAGGCTGGAGCCTTAGAGCCGTGCCCGCCCCTCCCCTCCAGCCCCGCCCATCGCTGCACCTGTGACCTGGAGCTGCTGTCGCGACAGCTGCAGACGCTGCAGGTCCTCCTCCGGCTCCAGCACGTGCGCGTCCAGTGGCAGCTCGTGCGCTGTGAGCAGGCGCGGGCTGTACTTGCCGGCGTCGTAGTCGTCCAGGCTCTGCTGGATCAGGTCCTCCTCCATGAGCACTGCCTCGCTGTCGCCCTCCGCCGGTGCCGCCCCGTCCGCCTCCGCGGAGCCGCCCTCTGTTGAGGCTCCTGGCGGGGTGGGGGCCGGATCCTCGGGCTCCAGGCTGGGGAGGACAGCGCGTTGGAAGGGCTGGGAAGGGTGACTGCCCCCAGCCCCTGGGTCCTGGCCAGGCCTACCTGTGGCTCGGGGACTGGGGCTCCTGCTTGAGGATGGGAAACAGGGGCTCGCTCTCCACGCCCTGCTCCTGCTTCAGCTTGTACAGCTTCTGGCGCAGCACGTCCTGGTGGCGCTCGCGGAGCCTGGCACGCAGGACACAGGAGTCACCTTCCCACTCAGAGGAGAAGGGGCTCTGCACCCCCAACCCCCACTCTGATGCTGCAAGGATCTGAGGCTGAGGGGGTCAGCAAGGGACTACAGCAGGGGCTCGTACCCCTGCCTGGGTCCAGCCAGTCTAAGGTCAAGGCTTTTGGCCACAAGGGCAATGTGACCATGGGGCTCCTGAGAACCGTGGGGGACACCTGAGGCAGGATTTGGGTTGGTCTCTGTACCAGGATATGCACGTGAGGACATGACCCAGAAGGCCAGGGCCGAGACGGCCAAGAGGAGGAGCAGGGGCCCCAGCAGGACACTGAGCAGGCAAGGAAGAAGATAAATTTAGACATTTACAAAATAACACAAGCTGCGAACAAGCGGGACCAGACACTGTATTTACACAATGGTGCCAAGTACACTGAGAATTTGTACACAGCTCCTCGCTCACAGGCTGGGAGGGCGCCTGGCCTGCAGCAGAGGCCATTTACAAAATAACACAAGCTGCGAACAAGCGGGACCAGACACTGTATTTACACAATGGTGTCAAGTACACTGAGAATTTGTACACAGCTCCTCGCTCACAGGCTGGGAGGGCGCCTGGCCTGCAGCAGAGGCTTCCTGTGATGCTCACGACCCCAGGGAACAAAGGTGGGGGGCGGGGGTGCATCTGGAGCTGGCCAGGTGCTCGTTCAAGGCCGGAAAGGAAAAAGAAAGTGAGCTGCCAAGGTGCTGGGGGCCAGCTGGGAGACACTGGAGCTTCTTAGGGACCTTCCAGCCGGGGCACTGGCCTGTGCCCCACAGGCTTCTTAAGGGCTGGCCCTGCCTGAGTCCTCTCCTCCTGGGGCTGGGCGGGGTCCTGAGGGGCTGGCGCGGCTCACCTGGCCCTGGCCATGTGCGCGCGCAGTTGCTGCAGCAGGCTCTCCCAGTAGCCCATGTCCAGGTTGGGGCCACCAGCCCGGATCTTGCCCTCAATGCCCTGGAAGATGACCTGCAGCTGGTTGTATGTCTTCCCCTTGAAGACTGACTGCACATCTGAGCTGACCGAGGCGTTGACCCCCTCACGGCGCTCGCCTGCAGTAGGGCGGGGGCTGCTCAGCACGGGGCTGGGTCCCGGGGCCTAACCCCCTGCACTCAGCCCAGCCATTCCTCTTCCCCCATTGGGCCTCCCCTTGACCCACAGGCTTCACTGATCCCTGGGGGTCCTGCCTCCGCCCTGGTCTCAGTTCACCCCCCATTGTGGCTGGTCCTTCCGATGCACTAAGCTGGTGACAGGCCATGGACCCAGTCAGGAGAGGCATTAAATGTGGATGCTAGGGCCTCACCAAGCCTGGGGGAGGTCGGACGTGTAACTCAGCCCCTCCCTGGGTGAGTCTGATGCTCAGGTCTGGGAACCTCGCCCAACGCTGCCCTGGCTTGGCCTGAACCATGTGGAGGGGCCAGGAGGGGGCCCCCCCCAGCCAGACTCTGGAACTCAGATCCTGGCTTTGCCGGCCCCAGCTTCTGTAAAGCCCAACAAGAGAGTCTCCGCCGCAGCAGGGAGAGTCTCTCAGGTGTCCCAGGGCTGCCCCTGCTTGCTGCCGCCTCCTGGGAAGTCCTCACACCACCCCAAGACAAACAGCACCTCCATCTAACACGGAGTCTGTCCAGCGTCCATCACAGGCTGAGGACTCAAGGCATAAGTCCCTTTTTGGTAGACTGAGGCCCTGAGGGTAGGAGTGAGATGCTGCTCAGGCCAGAGCCCCCTGCCTGAGCCCGCACCACAGGGCACGCTGGCACACTGGCAGGGCCACAGCAGCGCCAGCTGGTCTGACCCATGTCTCCCCGCAGCTGCTTCTGCCACACCGGCCTCATCACTCACTGGACACCAAGCCTCCACCCCTGCCACCACAGGGCCTTTGCACATGCTGCACTTCCTGCCAGCAACACCTCCTCCTTCATCCCATGCGCCTCATAAATTCCACCCATCCTCAGTGTCCAGTGAGAACGTCCCTTGACCAGGAAGCCCCCCACCCCCCGACCATCAATGATCAGCAGTGGCCTCGTTGACCCGGATGTGATTCGTGGCTTCCTGAGGTGAGCACCTGTTTCCCCAGCGCTGTGCCAGGCCACAGGGGAGCTTAGGACGCAGCTGCTGGGGGCAGACAGGGTGCTTCTGGGGAGAGGCGAGGCCCTGTTTGGAATGGGGGAGGGCTACGGAAGCGGGGGCGTGGGGACCCACTTCCCAATCACACCCTATTGTGCTAGAACTTTCTAGAAAAGGAAAAAAAAAATTCAACTTAATTTATAAAGACAAAGGACAGGGCTCCCTAGGTCTCCAGGGTGGGACCGCAGAGTTAAGACCTCTCGGTCCCTTTTACTGGAAATCATGCCGAAAGGAGAAACAGAAACACAAAGCTGCTCTCTGAGAACACCTGAAGCCACCTGCGACTCCAAACAGTAACAGATGGGGAGGGAAAGTGGGCGGAGGGGCGACCGATGTGGCGGAGACAGGGGTTGGGGCAGTAAAGGGCTGAAGGGGCCACAGAACAGAGGCTGGCAGGACAGCCCGGGCACTCGGGGCACTGGGAAACTGGCAAAAGGCTACACGATCCAATGTCTCTTCAAGACTTTGCCACAGCCAGTGGGGTGGGGTATTCTGCCTTGTGGAGGAAAGGCCTGTCCCCTGGAATTGTAGACTCAGCCCCAGTGCCACTCACAGGAGCATAGACAGGCGACCTTCCCTGATGTTACAGGACTTCCCTTCCTTTCTCCAGAAATTACTGGAGGATGCATCCCCCACCCCTCACCTCCAGAGGACTATACCAGGGACAGGATGGTCCAAGAGTTACCTCTGGGAAAAGCAAAACTTTCTTTAAAAAGATGAAAGGGGGAGGCTGGCCAGCAAGCTCAGCTCGTCAGTGTGGTGCTCTAACCACTTGACACTGAGGTCAAGGCTTTGGATCCCTGTTCTAGCCAGCCACCACCACAAAACAAAACAAAAAACATGAAAGAGATGTCTTTTTTCTAAGAGGAAGGAAGCTGTCACTGACCACCCTGCCTGAGTAATGAACAGTATTTACCCAGGCTCCTGGGGTGGGGAGGGGGTTCCAAGTCCCCAGCCACCACATGTGGACAGCAGCTAATGCCCAAGGGAGAGGGGACCAGGGAAGGGTGGGTTTATTGACACAGGCAATGCCCAGGAGAGCTGGACACCGTGAGAGCCGGTTGCTTCACAGGGAGAGAGGAACAGAACAGTAGCAGTTGCTTTTTAGAACAGGGGGTCTCACCTGGGGGCAATTCTGCCCCCAGGGCCACTGGGTGGAGTCTGGGGGACATCTGTGGCTGTCATGACTCGGGGTGCTCCTGGCATGGAGCAGGTGGAGGCCAGGGACACTGCTTAGCACCTGCAGTGCCCAGGATGCCCCACCAGAGAAGGATCCGGCCCCACGTCCAAAGTGCCGGGGGAGACCTGGTTCAGGGCTTGTTTCCCTCAGGATTATGTGCACACAATCACTTCGATGAAAAGGAAACAATCTAAAAAGCCGTCACATTGAAGGGGCACGGGATGGCCCGCCTGAGGAGGCAGTACCCTGGATTGGGGCTGCATGGTTTCCTGGCCAAGCGGAGCCAGCACTGCTCTCAAACAAGCAGAAGCAGCAGGGACACGTACAATCCAAGCACAAAGCCCCTGCGGGCGCCGCTCCCATGAAGCCAGGCACTGCTGTGTCAACGTCTAAAGGAAGCCGGATCCAGAGGCTGCTGTGCTCGGCGCTCCCCACAAGAGCCCCCCACCGCAGCAGGAGGGCCCCGGAGCCTGCTGCCCACTGCTGACCCCTGGTGGCTCACCCTCGCAAGGGAGCTTAGAGAGGGGCCGTGGAGACTCCAGATGGGGGAAGAGGCACGCAGAAGACCCCAGGCTCTGCAGCGAGTCAGGCTTCTGGCAGAACCACCCAGCGCACAGCTGCTCTCAGCAGACCCTAACAGCACACCCCGCGTCTCTTGGGTCATCCTGGCCCCACGGTTACCTGGCCCCTTGCTCGAGGCCTCCAGCTTGCGCAGCTTGGAGATCTCATCCTCAGTGATGATGGTCATGTCCCGCCAGAAGTCGGCATTCTTGCCTTGCTCCAGTTCCATGTACACCTGGAGGCAGAGGTGCATGGGCAGCAGTGAGGGAGGAGCAGGGTGAAGGTGGGGTCAGGGTCACAGGGGTGAAAAGGGACACAAAGGCGGGGCCGGGTTCTGGGCTTGGTGAGCCACCTGGATATCCTCCAGCAGGTCCTCCATGTCGGCTGCGGTGAGGCCGGTGAGGAAGGTGTAGGGCTCATGCATCTCCACAGCCAGGTCATCGTCCTCGGCGCTGATGTACTTGGCCAGCAGGTCGATGGGCTTGGCCCGCCCGTCCCGGATGCGGATCTTGGAGCTGCCAGGGAGGGGGGGGTGATGTCAGAACCAGGGGTGCACCCTGCCTCCTGAAGACCCTTCCCTCAGGGGGCAACTGCACTGTGGGAGCCAGAGGAGGGGCCAACCCGTTGGGGTGGTAGTCAGGGAAGGCTTCCTGGAGGAGGGGACGTAGGGCAGAGAGCAAGATGGATCAGTCAGAAGGCTCAGGCTGGCAAAAGTGCAGAGACAGGAGCAAGTGTGGCCTCTGAAGAGCCGTGGGTGGACAGGACCTCAAAGGTGGGGACGGGTGGAAGGGGCCAGACCGAGGCCTCAGGGATGTGCCCCAGAGGGCAGCTTCTGTCTGGGCTGCAATGGTCACAGGGACTACAATAGACCATAGGCACCACCTCCTCTCGGTGGACGGGCCACCTGGAGCTGAGGAGCCAGAGCTTTAGCTCTGTGCTCCTGGAACACGAATGTGTCAGAGGCTGACCCTGGTGAACCCAAGGGAAGCCCTTGACCAGGCAGATCTGAGCTGGGAGGAGCCTCAGATGTCACAGACAGTGAACCCCTTGCTGGGACCAGTCCGGCCAGCAGGCAGCATGCTGAGGTGGAGACCAGGGCTTGGGGTGTGTTCATCCTCTGGGCCTGGCACTCAGACACCCACTGTGTGGCCTCTGGTGACCCGTGACTCCTGGAGCATCATGCTCCTTATCTGTAAACAGGACTGGTGAGTAAACCACCCGAGTGCTGTGTGGGACGTGGGCGGCTCACTCAGTACACGTGTCCTTAGCGTCCAGCCTAACTTGCCCAAAGGGGGCCATGAGAGGAATCAGCTGTGTGGCAGCCTGTGACAGTGCGAGGAAGGAGCAGACAGAACGTGGGGCGCACACACAGCAGGGCCTCCGCAGGAGGCGACAAGCGGACACTTGAAGGGTTTGGGAGCAGTGTGACCCAGGCAGCGTGATGGCAAGTGCCAAGGCCCTGGGGCGAGCTGGTGTGTCTGGGCCCAGAAGGAGGCTGGCGGCCCCGTGCCCGGCCCGCGCACCGCAGCTTGGCCTGCTGCAGGTGGAAGTTGTCCTCCTGCTCCTCCCACGTCTTGAAGTGCTCCGCCTCCTTCTCCCGCTGCAGTGTCTCCAGCTCCTGCTCCCGCAGGGCCTTCTCCCGCTCCCGTTCCAGCCGCAGCTGCTTCACCTGGGGGCACAGGAGTGTGAAGGCAGGCAGGAGTGGTTGGGTGGATGTAGGATGGGGTCCCCTGCTGAGTCTCAAGCCATGGGGTCTGCTGGGGGCAGGGTAGGAGACACTATGACCCAAGTCTGGCCCCAGCCTGCCTGCCCTGGACACAGGGATTGGTCCAGGGATGCCTGAGGTATGGGACAGACCTGGAGGCAGGAGGTGCCCTATTTCTACTAAAGATCCAGAAGCTCCAAGTGGCTGGGGCCATCTCAGTCACCCTGAAGAGAACATGTGAGAGTAAAGCCCAGAGAACAGCAGAGCCAAGAAGTGGAGGGAAACAGCTTCCTGAAGTCACAGCTCCTGGATCCAGCTGTGCCTGAAGCCAGCCACCCTAGCTTTCTTGGTAAGCTAATCAAGTCCCGCCAGGCTAAGCCAGGGTGAGCCAGTCTCCGGGCCCCCAAGGGAGGGACCTGCCCCGAGCGCCTGCACCTTCTGCAGCTCCAGCCGGTTGTCTTCCTGGATCCTCTTGTTCCGTTCCTTCAGTTCCTTCTCCTCCAGATGGCTGATCCCCTTCTTCTCCAGGGCCTGGAGGACCACAGTACCCTGCTGAGCGCAGCGCCCTCCCCCTGCTGCCCCACCAGCAGCACCCCTCAGGGAGCCTTTGACTCCCTTGTCTAGGGGATCAAAAGGCCAAAGCACTTGCTTTGCAGAAAGAAGTGTCCTGCCCCCACCGCACGTCTTCTGACTTCCACCCTTAAGGCTCTCAAGTCAAGGTGGTGCCATCCGGCAGCTGGTTATGCAGCAACTCCCACCACCATGAGCAAGATGCAGCAAAGACACAGAACAGAAGCAGCCACCCCTGCAGGACTGTGAACAGCACTCCCAGGAGTGCCTCACTCAGGACCTACTGACTCTTGTCTTACACAGAAGCCCAGCTGCGCCGGCGCCACAAAATCAAGCCCTCACAGTTCAGAACCCCCAGGGCCCCAACTGCATGTGGGAGAGGCGGGAACAGTGAGTGACCCAGGAGGACGCTCAGAAAACAAACCTGCCCAGGATCACCATGCCTGGGGGCAGGTGGCTACCACACTCACAACCCCCGAGGGCTGCATCTGATTCAGCCTCGAGCCCTCTGGCATCATTGAGTAGTTGCTGCCCACCTGAGCCTTCACCGTCCCTTCCCCAGGCTCCCAGCACCCCATGAGGGTGTTCAAGGACCCCCCAGTAACCGAACAGATGTGCCTCCTTCAGGGTGACACATGGCTGCCTGGCTTGGGCCCACCCCCTCGACACTGGGGCCGCTCTGCTCTTCCCACCTCCGCAGCTGCACGCCCCGTGCCCACGTGGTATCCAGCATGCCTTTGCTAATGGAGCACTAGGAAGTGGTGTCTTGATAGAGAATATGGGGGTCGTATAACTTCGTATAATGTATGCTATACGAAGTTATTACGAAGAGAACGAACAGGAGAAACAGGAAGAGCAAGATCCAGAGATAGAGCCAGAGCAAGCTGATGCAACTGCTCCTGAAACATCAAAAGAATTAGAAGAAACACCAGCACCCAGGGGAGCCCTGGCGGGGGGGGGGGGGCGGGCTCTCAAGAGGGGACAAAAGGAACAGCTGTGGAAAAACAAAAAACAAAGAAAACCAACAAACAAAAAAAATAAAAAACAAAGAAATAAAAAGAAAAGCAAAAGGAAAAAAACAATGAAAAAGAAATTTATAAACCAATAAACCAAAAAGAACAGCTGTGGGAAGTGTGGGGAGTGCTCCAGGGAGAGAAGTGGCGAGTGCAAGGGGCCTTGCGGTGCAACGGGCTTGGTGTGTTCAAGACAGGTAAGAACCGTGGAGAGTATCACAGCTTCCGGCCGTGCAACCCCACGAGGTGCGTGCAGCCTCTACCGATGGGCGCTGTTGTGGGTTGAACTATGTCCCCCACAAAGATACATCCATGTTCTAACCCTGGGAAGCTGTGAATGTGACCTTATTTGGAAAGAAGGTCTTTAGTTTGTTAAGACGAGGTCATGCTGGAGTAGGTTGGGCCTGAACCCAATGACTGGTGTCCTCCTAATAAGAGGGAACTTTGGACACAGACACACAGGAAGAGAAAACCTGTGAAGACACAGACATGAGAAGGGCAGCCATGTGAGACAGAGGCAGAGACTGGAGACACAAACACAAGCCAAGGACACCAAGGACTGCTGGCAGCCACCAGAAACTGGAGGAGGCAGGAAGCCTCCTCCCCTGGAGCCTCCAGAGGGTGCGTGGCCCTGTGACACCTGGATTTCGGACTTCTGACCTCTGCAACTGAGAAAGGATAAGCCTATGTTGTTTTAAGCCTGAGGCCGTGGCTGGCGGCTGAATGGCCGGGGCACATGAAGGAGAGAACAGAGCTCCAGGCACCGGAATCCCATCTCAGGCATGTGATGCCAAGGACTTGCTCTGCAACCACGTCTGGAGGTAGCCTGATTTTCTGGGCAAAGACTGACGAAAATCTTACAGTGCAAGAAACAGTGAAGAGCAAAAATGCCAACAGCAGCAGGAAGCGCTGTGCACACGTGCATAAAATAAACTCCTTCATGACAAAGAGCGGGCTGTGAGCACTCAATTGTGTCTTTTGAAATGGAGCAGAAATTATAAAAAGTGTATAAAGCACACAACGGGAGAAGAGCAAGTAGAACTCAACAACGGGCAATCGCAGCCCTGACGGCCGCAGATGGGCTCACCTTGTTCCAGATGAAGGTGCCCAGGAGGTTGTTGTCGCCGAAGGGGTTGTCCGTGTTGGTGTAGCCCATGTACTCCTCGCCCCAGCCCATCTTCTCACGCTTCTTGCGCTCCTTGGCCTCCTTCTTGGCCAGCCGCCGGGCCCGCTTCTCCTCGGGTGTCTCGAAGGCCTTCATCAGCTCCTCCTGCTGCTTCCGCTCCTCACGCAGACGCAGCCGCTCCTGCAGGCTCAGGGTCGCCGCTGCCACCTCTCGTGGGCTGTGGGAACGACCTGGGGATGCAGAGCTGGATGCTGAGGAGCCCGGGGACCAAGAGCGTGCCCGCCGGTGGTGGGTCCATGAGCCATGCTGCTGCTCCTCCCCTGAGTCAGACTGAGAGGACCGGTCCCGCGAGCGCCATCGTCGTGGTGGGGGGCTGCGACTTCGCCTGCCTGACCGCTGCCACCGTCCTTCTTCTGACACTGATCTACGGAGAGAATCCACAAAGGTCTGCTTAGTGCTTGCTGCTCAGTCATTTATCTGTTTTGCAGATGTTTACTGAGTGCCTGCTTGGTGTGACGCACTGTTCTAGGTTCTGGAGACACAGAAGCAACCAAAACATTGATGCCTCCTGTCTTCCCGGGCTCACTGTTGGGTGGGCCCAACCAAAGAACACCACAAATCAACATGCAGGACAACACAAGACAGTGACATGAGCCACAAAGAATAATGATGTAGCATCAGGGGACGGACTGTGCGGGTTGGGCTTCAGGTTACAGAGGTCAGAGAGAGTCTCTCTGAGAAGGTGACACTGAGCAGAGGCCTAGAGGAAGTGGGGGAGGAAGCTATGTAAGATCTGGGGGAAGAGCATTCGAGACAAAAGGAAAAGCAGGAGCAAAGGCCCTGAGGCAGGAATTGACCTGAGGAGGCCTGTGTAGCTGGAGCAGCATGAGCAAAGGGGGACAGGGAGGAGGGGAGGGCAGGGAGGGGACGGGGCAGGACTTAATAAGAGTTCAAGGCAGAGGGCCCAACTGTGTCTCAGCTGTCAGCGGAGCACTTGCCAGGTAGATGAGGGTCCTATAGGATGAGCAGGAGTTAACTGGAGTAAAATTGGTAGAAGTAAAGAGCGGAGAATGGAACGTGCGAGCCCCAAGAGAGTTTTCAACATTCAGGGTCTTTGAACAGGTAGAATAAGCATCAAATATTTTGTTAAATGCTCTACGTTTAAGCTCATGACAAAAAATCTAAGCTATGGAAATTCACTATTTTGGAGCCCTTCAATAACGACTACCGTGCTGGTTTCTTTGTGCTGGGGCAGACTCAAGGTAGGTCTGGCTAGGTGCCCCATCTCCAGAAGAAAAGGACTGTGGGTCGTGAGGAAGCTGAGACCCAGGGCCTAGGACAACTGTGCGTCCTGCCATCTGTCAACCACTCTTCCTTCTCACACTCCACCTCCATTTGAAAGTGCTGTCATCTCTGCTTTCAAAATCTCTCAAATCTACCCATTTTCCCACTGTGCCTCCACACGGCCTCCTCCTCATCACGGCCACCATCATCTGTTCTCCGGACAACCGCACCATCCTCCTCCCTGGTTCCACTCCTGCCTCCCCGCTCAGTGCCTTCTCCGGGCGAAAGCCAGGGAGTGCTGGCAAGATTCAGTCAGACCACGTCACTCCCCTGCTCAAGATCCTCCCGTGGCTCCCTATTTCCCCCGAATAACGACCAGATTTTCATCGCGATACACAAGGCTCTACACGTCCGGTCTCTCGTCACCTCTCCGACCTCATCTGCTCTCCTCAGCCTCGCTCGCTCCGCTCCTTCCTGACCCTCCAACCCGCAGGTGCCCGGTTCCTTCCGACTCGTGCTCAGACGCCCCTTCTTCAGGAGGCCCTCCCTGTCAGGGGTCTTCCAGCTCCCCGGGCTCTCCACCCCTGGGTCGGGAGCTCCCGAGGGCGGGAGATGGATCCCCAGCGCAGCCCCCGCAGCGACCCACCTGCGTTCCCGGCTCC